TTCATCTGTAGATGGGCATCTAGGTTGTTTCCATCTTTTTGCTATTGTGAACAATGCTGCCATGAACATAGGTGTGCATATATCTATTCAAGTGACAACTCTTATTTCTCTAAGATATATTCCTAGGAGTGGGATTGCTGGATCATATGGTATTTCTATTTCTAGCTTTCTAAGGAAGAACTCAACTCAATTTTTAAACAATCTATCAAAATTTTCTTTATGGTTTCTGGTTTTGGTGTTAATCTCAAAAAAGGCCTTCTTAGCCCAAAATAATACTAATATTCACTCATATTTTAGCAGTTTTTAACAACATGAGTTATTATTTATTTTATTTAAATCTTTATTTCATTTGGAATTTATTCCAATACAAAACGTGAGGTAGGGATTTAACTTTTCAAAAGGTTATCTGTCACAATACAATTTATAAACAATCCATGCTTTCCCCACTGATTTCCCGGCATATATGCCATGTATTAAATTATTACATGTACTTGGATCTATGTCTGGTCTTTTTCTTCTATTTCATTGATCAGTCTAGTTATTCTGGAACAGTTTTATATTTTAATGTCTCATAGGGCAAGTCCCTCCTTGTTACTTCTACTTTTTCAGAATTTTCTACCTCTACTTGAATATTTATTCTTCCAGATAAAAACAAAATAAACCAAACTGTTGCCATTGAGTTGGATTCTGACCCAGAGCCACCCTAGAGGACAGAGTAGAACTGCCCCATAGGGTTTCCAAGGAGTGGCTGGTGGATTTGAACTGCCGACCTTTTGGTTAGCAGCCATATTACTTAACCACTGCATCATCAGGGCTCCATTCTTCCAGATAACTTTAGAAAATTTTTCAAGTTCAAAAAAAGCTAGAATCTTTATGGAAATTTCATTAAATGTATTTTATACAATTTTTGCTACTGGAATAGAGTATTTATTTTCCTTTATATTTTCTAAATCGTTATCACTGCTATATAGGAAAGCAACTGACGTGCTTTGTTGAATTTTTAACTACCTCACTGAACTTTCTTAATTTTCTTTCAGCTTATTCATTCAAATTTGCCTGGCAGACAATTATATTACCTATATATATGACCATTTTGCCTCTTTCTTTGCAATACTTATTTCATTATTTTGACCAATAATGAAATAGCACTTCTAGACTGATGTTAAATAATAGTGTTGATAGCCAACTTCCTTGGCTTATTCCTAACTTTAATAGGAATGCCTTTAGTGGGTTTTTTAAACTAGGTTAAGAAACATGCATCTGTTTGTATTTTACTTACAGTGTGCTTCTATTTGTATTTTACTTAGTGTTTAGCAACATGAATGGCTATTTATTTCATTAAATGCCTTGCCACATGAATAACGATTCAACTACACTCCAAGTCTTTGGAGGGAAGAAACTAATAGAGCCAGGTAAGAGTTCTCTAAGGTTCTCTACCCTAAGGTTATTGTGAGAGAATCTAAAACTATATAACCCTGTACACTGGGGAAGGAATTTGAGAAACATAGCTAAATAAAGGTTATGCAAAATTTGTCCCATCTAAAGCATCTATCTACGTTACTCTGCATCTGTCTATGATTGCTGGACCAGACCTAGAGAAAGAAATAATTTATTCAGTCATTACACACACAAAGACACACACACATAAGGCCTACTTTGAGCTATATATTGTTATAATCATCGTGGATATAGTGATAAACAAAGTTGATAAGGTCCTTGCTCTCATGGTGCCTACTTTATACTCCATGGGAGAAAGATGTGGCAGTGTGCCCCCATAAAGATTTACAGCCTTGGAAACCCTATGGGGCAGTTCTACCCTGTCTTATAGGGTCACTATGAGTGAGAATCGACTCGACAGCAGTGCGTTTAGTTTGGGGGGGGGGGTGAAACAGTTAAGGGCTCGGCTGCTAACCAAAAGGTTGGCAGTTCAAACCTGTCAGACTTGGTGACGTGCTCCCATAAAGATTACAGCCTAGAAAACCCTATCGGGCAGTTCTACCCTGTCACATAGAGTCACCATGAGTAGAAATCTACTCTACAGCATCAAACAACAACAAAGGGTCATTGATATATTCTTTGTTTAGTGTTTGTTCTCCCATAACATGTTTAACCCTTTTTTCCCCTGTAAAATCTTAAATTCTTTAACCATTCTCCAACCCCAGTTGATTTCTAGGGCCAAAACCACCTAGCCAAGCAACTCACAAATTGCTGAGCAAAAAAAGCTGTGAGAGACAATGTTTATCGTTGTTTCAAGCCACTAACTTTTGGGTAATTTGTTAGGCAGCAATAGATACTCAATACATGGGGTTGAGAGTTTTGGCAGTAGCAGTAGTTTCCTGAGCCCTGGATCATAGCTAAAGCAGAGTGTTCTTGAAGCCAACCTATGTACAT